TCAAAAGAACCCCATCACCAGCATGTTTTTTTTTCTTTCTTCACCTTATAAGCAGAAGACACGACCTAAATGACGAAAAACAATTTTAGAGTAACAGTTTTATTATACTTTCAATCTTGGTGGTACAGAGGCCAGTTCTTAAAAACAAAAAACAACGGAAGAGGTCTGAAGCAATTCCAAATTTAATTAACTTCTGACATTCAAATTTGAATGCATCGTACTCTATAAGCCAACGAACTAACGAGAGTCAAATTGGACCCTAGCCAATTAAGCTGAAGGCCCAATTAATTTTTCCAAACCAGCCTATCCGAGATGAAAACGAATAACCTAGCCGAATTAGAGATGAACACGAATCAAATTAACCTACCTGAATTCAAATATCTACTCCTACTCCTCGATTGTACGTTGATCGATCGCTTGATCGCTTCCAACCCTAGCTAGCTCTCGCGCGCGCGGGGGCGCGGGAAACTAGAGATCACCCATGGCCGGTGGCCTCACCTTCTCTCCGCCGGATCACGAGCTGATCACCAAGTTCCTGCGCCCCAAGATCGCCGACGACACCATCAAGCTCCCCTTCATCCACGACGCCGACGTCTACTCCGCCGCGCCGCCCGACCTCGCCGCCAGGCACGTCCCCGCCCGGGGCACCGACCGCGGCGACGGCGCCGGCGCGGTGTACTACTTCTTCTGCCCGGTGCACCGCGGCGGCGGCGGCGTCGGGGCCAGGCGGCGGCAGCGCGCGGTCGGCGGCGGCGGCGGCGCCAACGGGGAGGCCGGGCACTGTGGCTGCTGGCACCCGGAGGGCGGGCAAGAAGGCCGTGCTCGACGCCGGCGGGCGCCGCGTCGGGCACCTGCGCAGGCTGTCCTACGGGGTGAGGGAGAGGGGGTCCGGCCGCCGCTTGACCAGGCTCGGGTGGTGCATGACGGAGTTCGGCGTCGACCACGGCGGCGGCGGCGGCGGCGAGGCCGACGCCGGCGGCCTGGTCCTCTGCAAGATGTACCGGTCGCCTCGCGCCGCTCAAGTAGAGGCAAGCCTGCAGGCCGCGGCGGCGTCCACCTCGGGCTCCAAGAGGAAGCAGGCGGCTGACGATCTGATCCATGCTCCGGCGAGCTCGCGGCACCGGCACGCCGACGTGATGCCCGCCGGAGTCAACGGCGACGAGGTCGGCAGCATTCATCCGTCCGTCCAGTTCCCACCGCCGCCGGAGGAGCAGACGCTCGTGCAGACGAGGGACGGCCCTCGCACGGACCACGAGGTGATCATGGCGCTGGCGATGGGGGCAACCGTCGACGAGTTGCTTGGCCCGAAGCACGGCGAGCCCGGCGAATCCTCGCCGTTCCCGGCGCCGGCGGCAGAGCCATGCTCCATTAGCGGCGGCGGCGACATTTTCTGGACGGCGTCCGGTGTCGTGCCGTGCCCAGACATGGCAATGGCATTTCCAGCGCCGCCGGCGGGAGAATTCAGCTGGGACAAGGAGCTCGCGTGGATTCGAGAGTTGTTGTCGGGATCCCGGCCGTCCTCGTGTTCCGCCGTGTGATCAGAATATGCAGCTGCTGTATGGATGCTAGGGTTTCCCTTACCACTTGGAGAGCGGTTATCGCACCCCCGCAGTAACCGAGAAAACCGCATGAATTTCGTCGGCAAGCATTTGAATTAAAAAATTTGACGGTTGCACGGTTTGGTTGTGGTTACTACATGGTTTGCACGGTAACCGTGAGTTGTGTAGATGAACGTAACAATGCTAAAAAAAATTGAAAACCCACTTAAATGTAGAAACTAGGGATAATTAGAAAAATATATAGGATAGTTGCAAACCGAACTTTTGGATGTAAAATAAAAAATTCAACATGACCTCTTGTATATTATGGAGATATTTCCTTCTCTATTGGGCCTCAATGGATATTTTTTTCTTTTTTTCCATTTTCTAAACTATTATCAGTTTTGCCCTTAAATTTAATTTTATCTTTACTCTTTTTCAAAAATTTCTTCACCATTTGCCACTAAAAATCAAGAATCACATCCATGATTATTTTTTGGATTGTTTTCATTTTTTTTGGGAAATTTTGAATTTGGTTGAAATTTTACTGTCGGTAACCATTACCGTTTCCCGTGGTAAGCATGGTAACCTCGGTAACCGTGCAGTTACCGGCAGTAAGGGAAACTGATGGGTGACTATGAACCCAAGATTCACTGGAGGTTGACTTGATTTTACTGACACTTCGGTGTTCATTGTGAACAAAAAATTATAATCATCTATTCACTCTCTTTCAAATTATTTGACACTTTGACTTTATTTTTAAAAATATTTAAACTTGAGAGTAAGTTTATAGAAAAAGTTAATAATATTTACAACATCAAATTAGTTACATTAAATCTAACATCAAATATATTTTAATATTGTTATGTTTGTTTTGCGTTATAAATATAAACTTGGTCAAATAGGAGAAAAAAAATAAAAATAAGGACATCCCAAATCCCCAAATCCAAATCCACAATCACAATTCACAAATCCCAAATCCCAAATCCCAGCTGGATCCGCTGCGCCCCATCATGCGCTCGAAGTTGACATGGTTGTTGATAGCGTCATCGCACTCGAGGTTGTCATCGTAGTCGCGGTGGACTTGAGGTCATCGTAGTCGCGGTGGACTCAGGGTTGTCGTCGTCGCACTCAAGCACCGTCGACGCCAAGTCCACCTCTCCTGAGCACCACCGGTGCTTGATCCGCCTCTTCCGAGCACCACGGATGTCGGATCTATCTTTCCACACCTCCTCCGCCCTCCTGAACACTGCCGCCAGAGCCACCGTCGCCTACACGAGCCGCCTCACCACCGCCACCCCTCCCCTTTGCCGTTGCCGGAGCCGCCACTGCTTGTGCGAGCCGCTGCCGATCGATGGACCCACCGCCAATGGGGAGGAAGGAGGAGAGGGGTGCTACGGTGGGTGATGGAGGTGCTGCCGGTGAGGGAGGAGCAGAGGGTGGGTGGATCTAGAGATGAGAAGGAGGAGAAGCGGTGGGTGGCAGTGTGCCGGCGATTTTTTTTTAAATGTGGCGATATTTTTCAAGGGCAGTGAGAAGGAGGAGAAGCGGTGGGGAGGGTGGGTGGATCTAGAGATGAGAAGGAGAAGCGGTGGGTGGCAGTGTGCCGGCGATTTTTTTTTAATGTGGCGATATTTTTCAATGGCGGTGCTCTTTAGTGGCCACCAGCGAATTCGCCGGCCATCATTTAAGAGATCCACTTGAAAAAAATATCTCTCTTCACTTAGGATGTGTTTGGATGGTGGTCAAGGGTGGATGGGATTGGGCCATCCAGTTTTTTAGGGATATGGCCATCCAGTTTTTTGTTTGGTTGGATAGATGGGATGAGCCAAGTTTTTGTTTGGTTGGATGGATAAAAGGTGGATATGGTGAGCCAATTTTTTGTTTGGTAGGATGGATGAGTATTGTCATCACCTTTTGGATGGAAATGGTGAGAATACCTCCTACCTGGTATACTTTGGAAAATTGGATGGTTGCATGTACAAATAATCAAATGCATAACGTATTTGTTGTCTACCTTGAGAACAGAAAATTAAAATTAAACAAGATGCTCATGAGCATTCATGTTACTTGTCTGCATATTTGTCCATGGACCATGAACCCAAGACAATTTTTTTCAGAAATTTTTAACATGCATATGTGTTACCAGTTAACACACATAACAGGAGGGGAGCACACACATACAACACGCCATATGCTCCCAGAAATGAAATATGCAAAAATATATCAATTAACCATCATCCAATGGAACCACCACATCTGAATTTTACCATCAACCATACATCCAATACAAGTGACTGGTTTAGGGACAAAAGTAGGCTAACACAAGCCTATTTACCATCTACCAAATGCCATCACACTTAATACTCATAGTTTAATGTCTGAGTATGCAAAAGAAGGTTGAATGCAGGCATAAATCAGAAACCGTGTTCTGCTGTCCATCTACAATGCCAAAGTTTGACCAAATCAGGTCTACCACATTCATGCACACATATATTGAGTCATACAACATATAGCACTCAGATCTGAACAAAATATCACAAAATAGCAACTATAGCACTCTATAATCATTCATGCCCATGCTTAGAAACTACTATAGCACTCATATCTGAACAAATCAATCCCCAAAAAACAAGAACAATGCTCAGATTTGTAGTATACCTTCAAACGAGGATGAATGCAAAGAGAGTGATGTTGTTTCTACTCGCCGCCGCCGCTGCCGCGTGGACTCGCCGCCGTGCCGCCTGCAGTCGCCGCCGCGTCGCCTGGAGTCGCTGCCGTGTCGCCTGCAGTCGCCGCTGCCCAGCCTGGAGTTGCCGCCGCCCCGCCTGGAGTCGCCGCCGCGCCGCCGGTAGTCGTCGCCTGCGCCGTCGGTTCCCTCCGCCCGCGCCGCTAGAGGGCGAGAACCCGCGCCGCCGACACCTGCCGCCCGCCCCGCCTGCCGCTCGTCCCCAGCGCGGCCACCCGCTCCGTCGAACCACCCCGCCTGGTGCGCCGCCGAATGAGGGAGGAGAGCTAGGGTTTGCCACTGTGAACCGGTGAGAACAGAGGAGAAAAAAGAGAGAAGGATGGGAGGAGGTGAGGGCACGCGACCACTTCACGTGCGCGAGTCGCGCGCGGTCCTGGGCTGCCCCGTCCGGCCGAATCGGCCGGATGCACGGAGCTGGCATCTGGAGGGAATATTCTCTAGGGGGTGGCCATATCCCAGTACCGCCCACCATCCAAACACCTCCAAAATTTGGACGGCCATATCCTATCCCAGCCAATCTCTCCATCCAAACACATCCTTAAGAGTTCCCGTTAATTTTGTCCGCTTTAGACAAATGTAGACGTGTGCACGGCAAATGAGATCGGCATGTTGTAGGATTATTTACACCACCAAGTGGTATGAGAAACAGAGCCTCACCCGATCCTTTTGTCTGCAGGAGACAGCCACTCCTACACTCGGTCACGACAAGGATGTTGTGGTTGTCTATATTCATTCGTAAAAGTTAAGTGAAGGAAGTATCTCACAAACCCTCTTCTACAATGTCACATTACCATCACCGGCAGATAGAGAAGCCACATCATACGATTGTTTACATGATATACTGTCACAGACATTATTAACTTATGACGCAAAGGCTATATGGTTGTCCACGCATCATCATCTGAAAATTTACTGAACATGATCTAGCCGGCGCGTTAATTCTTCCTGAAATGCGTGATCTGGACGTTCTCCACGTCCAGCTTCTTGAAGTTGCTGTTCTTCCTGGTGCTGAAGAATTCGCCCCAGTTGTAGGGGTTGTACCTGGCCGGGCTCTCGTCGCTCACGACCTCCTCCAGTGGCTCCACCATGGTGTGGCCCGCCGGGTTGAAGAAGAAAGGGATGGAGAACCTCTCCTTCTCCACGTTCACCGCCACCCGGTGCTCCGCGCTCTCGTACCTGTCATTGCTCCACACCTGGACAAGCGCACTCTCAATTTTTTCAGTCAAATTCAAAATGCAAATAAAAATGATGTCAAATAGTAACAATTAAACTACAATGTTGTTATATATTTATTAACTAATTCTCTTTTAAAAGTTTGTCAACTATGAATACCGTTATAATTGTAGTGTAATTATATTATAACTTGTATATAACTGTAATATAACGTGTATGCACATAATTTTAAATCGTTAGATTTACTTCAAGATTCATTCAACTTGGAACGACCTCCGTTTCGTGAAAATAGCGTGTTACCGTAGAAAACTTATATGTAAGTTTCACATAATTTTAATCTATTAGATTTACTTTGAAATTTATTTAAGTTGGCAAGAAAAAAAAATCATATGACGCGCATGGGTGAAAAGATACGGTCTCACAATCTCCGCTTTCGCGAAAATACCATGTTACTATAGGATTTCTAAAACTTACATATAAGGACACACAAGTTATGATACAATTATTCTTTCATTGTAATATATTTATGTCCGATAAATTGTTAGAAGAAAATTTGTTGATAAATATGTAGCTGCTCAAAAAAAAAAGTACCTGGATGATGTCGCCGACGTTGATGATGAAGGAGTGAGGGACGGGCCTGACGCGCACCCACTCGCCGTCGGATCGGCGGCGGACGTCGAGGCCGCCGACATCGTCCTGGTAGAGCACGGTGAGCGCGCCGGCGTCCTTGTGGCGGCCGACGCCGAGGGCGAGGTCGGGGCTCGGGCAGGGAGGGTAGTGGTTGAGCCGGATGAAGGTGGTCTGGTCGTCCTTGAAGAAGCCATGGAGGCGGTCGGGTCTCAGGCCGAGGCTCCTGGCGATCAGCTCCAGCAGCTTGAACGCCAGCTCCTCCACCGCTTCGCCGTACTCCTCCATTGCCTCCCTGCTCAAGAATTCGATGAGGTTGAACTGAATTGATGCGAGGATGAAGAAGACGATCGATCGATGTGGTGACCTGACCTGAATCCCGGCAGGTCGTCGGGCCACTTGTTGTCGAACACCAGGTCGCCGTCGGCCACGGCGGTCGTCGGCGGCGGCGGCGTCTGGCGCGGGACGAGGTCGAACACCTCCTTCCAGTCCCTGACGTTCTTGGTGTGCTCGGACGCGTAGTACCCCATCGGCGCCGCCTCGCTCCGCGCCACGGCCGCCCTCCGCTCCGGCGGCAGCGCGAAGAACGTCCTCTGCGCCTCCGCCGCGCGCGCCACCGCCTCCGCGGGCACACCGTGGCGCACCACCACGAAGAAGCCCCAGTCCCGGCTCGCCCTCCCGACCTCCGCCGCGAGCGCGTCCACCCCGTCGGCGTCGCCATCGCCGGCGGCGAGGAGAGGGGAGAGGTCGATGACCGGGATGCCGTCGGCCTCGGCGACGGACGCCTTGGGGCGGTGCTCGGGGGCCTGCACGAACGCCTGGTCCATGGAGAGGCCGCCCATGGTCGATCAGTAGCTGGTGGCGAGAAGCTGTAGCACAAGTGTTCGTCTCGTGTGTCAGCGTGTGTGTGTGTGTGCGTGTGGCTTGGGTTTGATATCGGCGAGGAAAAAGGACGTGCGATGGGTTAGGTTGGATAGCTCAGTTCATGGCTGGATTCAATGAATCTGGATGGGTTTCAGTGTGACGCACATTTGGCTTGTGTGGTGGAGGCCTTCTGATCGGTGCGTGTTGTCTGTTTGTTGTAGTGACGTCATGGATGATCGACCGAGCTAGAGAGCCGAGTTGGCGACACTGCGACACAACACACGATCGACAGGAAAAAGGTGGCCGGCCGGGTTGAGAGAAATAACACGTACGGTACCGATTTGCAAATGAAAAAAAAATATATAAATAAAACTTTTATACACGTGTTCATAACGATCTAAAAGTAAAGACTATAAATAAACTACGATGAAAAAAAAAATCTCAAAATCAACTTTTAATTTAAGATTGAAAATTCAAACTTTAGCTAGGAGTAATAAGTACAAGTATAAGCATAAATGAAAAAAATAAGGTTGTACGAGTTCACTCAGGATACAGTTTTAACGCCGCTAGCGCCGCCGCCTTACGTGTTTATGTCCTTGGCACGCCGGGAGATCGGCCACCGGCGGCGAGCTTGGACGCCGGCGACGCGAGGCGTCCTTGAGGGGATCGAACGGTCGTGTTCAGTGCGTGGCTCAATGATATGATGCGCTGCGGTTGGTGACAAATGGCTGGGAGCGGAGAGAGCACGACAAATTATGGTTGTAGCTTCCTCGTCAGGCGGACGCGACGCGAGCGAGAGTATTCACCCGGAGCTCGCGGTCAGTGGAATCTGAAATCAGCACAGCCACCGTAGTTTCTCTCCTTGCAAGTCGCAACAACGTACGACCACCTGTGCTAGCTAGGGAGTCAGAGTAACTATGGAAGCGCGATGAAATCATATTCCCTCCGTCTTTAAAAAGAAACTAACTTAATATCAAAGGTGATATTTTTTCTAAATAATATATCTGAATAGAATATTGTCCAGATTCACTGTATTAAGAAATATCACTTTCAATAATATGTTGATTTTTAGGACAAAGAAAGTATGCACCAACGGGGTGCTGGTGTGCTCGTGGGCTAACCAAAAAATTGGGCCGGATGATGTAGTGGTGACTGTGGTGTTAGTTGTTGTGCAGAGAGGTTGTGGCTGTAGCAGGAGAGGAAGCCGAAGCGCGGCGGGGCGCTCATCTCATCTCGTCCTGTACGCCGTGTCCATCAGCGAGGCCGCTCATGCATGTGCGTCTTCCTCGCTCGACGGGTGCTTCGCCGCCGCGGCCACCGTCCGTACGTGCTCGATCTGGAACGTGAACGTATACCTGGAAGTGAACACAAAGAACAACAAACTAATAATGATATATGTTATCCATGAGAAAATTAGGCCAAAGCTGTTGAAAATATGGTCACATTTCGGTATATTTTAATCCAAATTATTACGATAATAATCATGACTTTAACAGGGAATAAACCAGTACAATTATCAAACAGATGTAACAAATAAATCATGCTTAATATATAAAAAGTATAGATATTCACCATAAGGCAATGCACTAAAAACATTGCGCCAAACATAAACTTAGTAGACATGAAAAGTAGTGTAGAAAGATTATACCCAGTCAATGTCCCTCCGCTGGATTGTGAGGCAGAATTGCCTCCGTTGGTGTTGTCGCCTGGAGCGCCGCCGTTCCCTCCAGCTCCTGGTGCACCATCGCCAGTGGAAGCCATCGCGATGCAGAGGAAGCAGAGCAGTCACGTCGAGATGCTCCCTAAAAACTTGATCGTCCGCCTACCCGTGCAGGTTTCTCAGGTGGACGGAGTTCTGGAGGCACCTACTCGTCCTGGATCTCCCATGCGCGCAAGAGATCAGAACCGGAGAAGACAGAGTAGCAGCGCAGGAAACATAAGAGATTCAGCGACAGGAGGAGGAAGTGTGAGAGACGGAGAGCGGAACCGGAGCTCTGTCGCGGTGGTGGCTTTTTATAGCGCAGGAGGGGGCGCTTCTCGTCCATTACCAGAGTAACAGTCGCGCCCGCATTGAATCATATTCAATTCCCATCCGTTGAGCCGGTTCGAAAGGAATTCAATTGGCCTCGCCACGGCCACGCCCACGGCCTCAACCCGGCCCGGCCCGGCAGGCGCGCGCGTGCGCCCGTGTGGCAGTCCGCCCACTATCTCAACCGGTCAACAGGGGCTCTTCTCTAGCTCCCTATTTTAAATTGAGATCTCTTCACTTAAATTCCTGAGGTAGTTTTATTACCTCTAACATTTATTGCGGGCCTATGGATTTTAATTGAATTAAATCAGGCCTAACCCATTTATTCCAACAATCCCCACCAAATTTCATGGCTCACTAGAAATGCTCTCGATAGCCCATTTGTTTTTTATACCAGTGTTTCGGTGGAAACTGTTAAGTTGAACTTACACCTAGGAAAAGAGCTACACCAGATCACAACTGAACAATGGACTATGCCTTGAATTGTCAGTCTTGTGTAATTCAGGTTTCACTCAAACCCTTAACTAATACTGGGATGCCGTTTGCATCCCCTCTGTTTGGAGCGTATGAGTTATACTCCCGGCCTTTTCATGAGTATCTAGAGATCACCCAAATCTTATAGACTGTGACTAGCAGTTGGACTCATATAGGTGTGTTCCTTCTAAGATGTTCTGTAGGCCAAACATCTCTACTTTATGAAAAGCCTCTTGGATCATATTAAGGTGTGTACCATCCTACCATACAAATTTAGAAGAGAAGTGCATCACGAAAATAAGCCCATTTTAGGGTCTCTTCTCTCAGCTACACAATAGTTTGTTTCACTATCCAAATTCACGGGATCTCCGATCACCATGGACAGGTTTCCACTATTGTGCAACTCTAAGTGGGTCTCAAGCCCATCTCCCTCGATGCACAGTCTATCACATTACGTGGTAGCCCCTTGGTAAACTGATCTGCCAGATTTTTAGCCGTCTAGATATAGTCCAATGCTATTACTCCAGAGTTTTTCTGTTTTCTGACAGACTTCAATCTCCTTTTTACATGCCTGGATGACTTCATGTTGTCCTTCGAACTGTTCACTTTGATAATCACTGTTTGTTTATCACAGTTCATCAGGATTGTTGGTACTGGTTTTTCAACCACCGGCAAATCCATCAGGAGCTCACGAAGCCATTCGGCCTCAATTGTGGCAGTATCTAAAGCTATGAGTTCTGCTTCCATTGTTGACCTCGTTAAGATGGTCTGCTTGCAAAACTTCCAGGAAATAGCGCCACCTCCAAGTGTGAACACATACCCACTTGTGGCCTTTATCTCATCAGCATCAGATATCAAGTTTGAATCACTATAGCCCTTCAATACTTTTGGGTACCCGGCGTAGTGAATCTCATAGCTCATTGTTCCTTTTAGATAGTGCACTACTCTTTCAAGAGCATGCCAATGATCATCTCCCGGATTTGAGACAAATCGACTCAACTTGCTTACAGCAAATGAGATACCAGGCCTCGTTGTACTATCTAAGTACATCAATGAACCAATGATCTGTGAGTATCTCAATTGATCCCTTGCTATTCTTCGGTTTTTCCTTAGTAGCACACTGGAATCATAAGGAGTAGAAGCTGTCTTGCAGTCACTATAACCAAAGCGACTCAGGACCTTGTCCACATAGTGAGATTGCACAAGTGTGGTCCCACCTTCATCTCCTCTCAGTAGCTTAATGTTAAGAATAACATCAGCCACTCCCAAATCCTTCATTTCAAAGCTTTTAGACAGAAAGTCCCTGACCACCTCAATCACATTGAGGTTGGTCCCAAAGATCAATATGTCATCGACATATAAGCACAAGATCAGTCCCTCTCCCCCACCATAGCGATAGTACACACATTTGTCAGCTTCGTTCACAACAAAGCCAACAGATGTAAGTGTTTTGTCAAACTTCTCATGCCATTGCTTAGGCGCTTGTTTGAGACCATACAAGGACTTCAACAACTTGCACACCATTCCCTCTTGACCTTCTAGTACATACCCATCTGGTTGATCCATATAGATCTCCTCCTCCAACTCTCCATTGAGGAAAGCTGTCTTAACATCCATCTAATGGACGAGTAGACCATGAGAGGCTGCCAAACCGAGTAGTACTCGAATCGCGGTCAAGCGAGCAACTGGTGAGTAGGTGTCGAAAAAGTCCTCGCCTTCCTTTTGAGTATAACCCTTGGCCCCAAGCCTTGCCTTGTACTTTTCAATTGTACCGTCAGGCCTAAGCTTTTTCTTGAAAACCCATTTGCATCTGTCGGTGACATGGGACCGGGAGTATCATGACTAGAGACTTGGGCAGCCGCGATCACCCACGTGGCCTGACCCCCTCGGGGGGGTCAGGCCCGAGGGTGATGTGGCCGCCCCTCCCTTTGTCTCCCCGAGGGGTCGGACCGCTCCCGTTTTGGCCCCGAGGGCCGGGGCGCCCCGACCCCCTGTGGGTTTGGCGCCACGTATATGGGTTAGGTGAGCACAGCGGGGCTCACCTAACCGCATTTATTGCGGGTTGAACGAGCGCGTCACGCCGCATGTAATGCAGCGCAGCGCGCTCGCTTATCCGGTCCGTGACCGGGCGCAGCGTGTGACCGGTCATAGACCGGTCAGATCGCGGGTTAGGTGGTGGCAGGTGGCCTGTTACACGCCTCGCCCCGTCCCGTCGGATTGATGAGAGCCTCCAGGCACTTGTCCCTAGCCGGAGGCGGCGTGCCAGCTCCTGAAGATGGCACGTCGGTCCCGGTCAGATATATGCCAGGCTTCATCCCAACCATTGCAAGGAAGTCATTGTATGAAGAAGGGCAGACATGCAGCTTGCTAAACTGACGCGTGGTGGACGAGAGTGACCGGTCTGTGACTGGTCTGACGCCTGTCATGTCATAGGCAGACAACCGCGCTCCCGTTTTGCACCTCCTTCCAGCGGAGTGGAGGTAGGTATGACCCATCCCATCGGAGGGTCATTCGGACAGCAGCCATTGCAAATCTCTGCCCATTTATGAAGGGATGACAAGGTGATCT